GTTAATGTTTCCATCTAGCATGCTCGGGATTTATAGGTGCTTAATTGCCCTCACCGTTCTCCTTGTCTTTTATGGTCGACCCTTCTTTCTTCCCACACATGGGGCACACTATTCCTCTCGAATGTGAGTATGTCTTAGGGATCCCACAACTGCCACAAGTCAAGCATATCCTATGTAACAATGTGTTGGATCAATAATGGAAATGTAAAAATAAATTTATAGTAGCAAGTTACCACTGCAAAAATATACTAATTAGATGAATTTATCATTTCCAAACTGCAATTTATCACTGCTACTTATATCCACCAAGCCTTTTTATTATTATCCACCGACTTTAAATTTCCCATGACCCATAATTTCTCAAAAATAGTTTCCACAAAAAAAAAAAAAAAAAAAAAAAAAGTGCCATTCTAAAGAATTCTAAATAATAGAGAAATAAGATAACTCCTGCGGAAAGTTTGGACCACTGATCAAAGAAGCAAGGCATAATTTAATTCAAGCTCAAACTCCAATTTTTTTCCTAGTGGTACAATCAAGATTTTTCAAGTTGCATTTCAACTATAATTCCTTATGATGTTACATCTGTAGCCTAAATTGATTTTTCAAGTTGCTTTTCAACTATAATTCCTTATGATGTTAACATCTTTAGCCTAAATTGTTGCAAATGGAACCAGTTTTCTGTAAAACTAAATGAATACATATAAGAATTCATAAAGTTTAACTTAAGTGCAAGCTTTACAACTAAATTAAATTATATTGACTTAAACTCAAATCTATACTTTTATACTATATATAAAAACAAAATCTTTAATTTTAACTTTTCGATCAATTCCTAAAAAGTCTCCCTTTCTGATAAAAATATATTATTTTCTACTTTCCTATTCGTATTATATTTCTAGGTTAAAATGCATGTTCTAATATTATAAAATAGTGTAATACAATTCATATTCAAATCTATACTATATAAAAACAAAATCCTGAATTTTAACTTCCCGCCCAATTCCTAAAAAATGGATCGTTATGCTGTGCATCCGTTGCACCATGCATGGTGCATACGATGCAAAAACGACGTCGTTTTATTAAAAAATGCGCATCCCACTTAAAAAAAAAATTCAGTTTCAATTCCCCGCAACAACATTATGTTGTTCATTCATTCTGGAATTTTAGTTCATAGATTCTGGAATTTTAGTTCATTGATTATGGATATTTAGACGTGAATCGAAACTGATTTTTTTTTTTTCATTCATGCTGGATATTTAGTTCATTCATTATGGATTTTTAGTTCATTCATTCTGGAATTTTAGTTCATAGATTCTGGAATTTTAATTCATCGATTCTGGAATTTTAGTTCATTGATTCTGGATATATAGTTCAAATTATGCACAATATAATTAATGTTGTTGCTGAGAATTGAAACTGATTTTTTTTTTAAGTGAGACGCGCGTTTTTAATAAAACGACATCGTTTTTATATCCGTATGCACCATGCATGGTGCATACGGATGCACAACATAATTTGCCCTAAAAAATCGTTCTGATAAAAATATATTGTTTTCTACTTTCCATTCGTACTGTAATTCTAGGTTAAAATTCCTATTCTAATATTATAAAATAGTGTAATACAATTATATTCTAATCTATACTATATATAAAAACAAAATCGAACTTTAACTTCCAGCCCAATTCCTAAAAAGTATCTCTTTCTAATAAAATATATTGTTTTCTGCTAGTCGTAGTATAATTCTAAGTTAAAATTCATATTCAAATATTATAAAATAGTGTAATACAATTCCTATTCTAATCTATACTATATATAAAAACAAAATCCTGAATTTAAATTCCCGCCCAATACCTAAAAACTCTATCTTTCTAATAAAAATATATTGTTTTATACTTTCCTCTTCGTACTATAATTCTAGGTTAAAATTCATATTCTAATATTATAAAATAGTGTAATACAATTCCTATTCTAATCTATAACTATATTTAAAAACAAAATTCTTAATTTTAACTTCCCGCCCAATATTCCTAAAAAATCCCTCTTTTTGATAAAAATATATTGTTTTCTACTTTCCTATTCGTACTATAATTCTAGGTTAAAATTGATGTTCTTACCCCAAATACTGCCCACTAAACCATTGAGCTAAGCCTGTGCGGGTATAAAATTGATGTTCTAATATTATAAAATAGTGTAATACAATTCCTATTCTAATCTATCTATATTATATAAAAACAAAATCCTGAACTTTAACTTCCCGCCCAATTCCAAAAAAATCTATTTTTCAGATAAAAATATAATGTTTTCTATGTTCCTATTCGTACTATAATTCTAGAGTTAATACCCAAAATCGCCCTCGACTATAGTGATTTTTCTCAATTTCGTCCTGAACGACTTTGGTGACATAATATCGTCCCAGACTTTTGTGTTTCGCTCAATTTAGTCCTCCATTTGTTATTTCGTCAAATTAGTGTTAAATAAAGGGACAATTCAGTAATGTCAATATTGATCTCTCTTTACTTTCAACTTGTGAAGTGCGAAATTCCTCTTTCTTGTACGAATTACACCCAGAATTACTCCCGGACCTGCAAATCAAATTTTATATTCGCAGTTTTAGGAGTAATTCTGGAAATAATTCGTAAAAAAAAACAGGATTTCGCAGTTCACATGTCTATGAGTAAAGAGATGCCAATATTAAAATTACTGAATTGTGTATTTATTTAACACCAAATGGACAAAATAACAAATGAGGGACTAAATTGAGCAAAAACACAAAAGTCTGGGACTAAATTGAGCGAAACACAAAAGTCTGGGACGATATTAGGTCACCAAAGTCGTTTAGGACGAAATTGAGAAAAACCACTATAGTCGAGGACGATTTTGGGTATTAACTCTATAATTCTAGGTTAAAATTAATATTCTAATATTATAAAATAGTGTAATACAATTCCTATTCTAATCTATACTATATATATAAAAAAAAAAATCCTGAACTTTAACTTCCCGCCCAATTCCTAAAAAATCTCGCTTTCTGATAAAAATATATTGTTTTCTACTTTCCTATTCATACTATAATTCTAGGTTAAAATTCTTATTCTAATATTATAAAATAGTGTAATACAATTATATTCTAATCTATACTATATATAAAAACAAAATCCTGAACTTTAACTTTCCGCCCAATTCCTAAAAAATATCTCTTTTTAGGGTCGATTGTCAACGGGACGAACATTGTGCTTGTAGGGTTTTTCACTACCCTATATATTCAATGGCAAACTTGTAATTTGATTAAAAATTGAGGGCAGTTGGAACAAAAAAAAAATAAATATAAATGTTAGATAAAAAATTGTAGCCAATTGATTTGAGATTAATGGCTAGTAGGGGTGTCATTTTTGAGAGGCAATTGGCAACTTTCATATATAAGTATAGGGAGATATACCATCAATGTAGAATTTGTAACAAAAATTGGTATTTCTGTTACAACCTTAATTAATCCTACCACTCCATAGCCATAAGAGCTCTTTAATAAACTTGCACCAAGACTTTTTTGATGGAAAATATTGTTACACCACTAACAAATTATGTTAATATTAATAATGCATTTTAAATTTCTAAATTATTGAGGTATACCTTAGTCATTTTTTTATTTATATCATTTTGTATTAAATAATTAATTAATCATTAAGTTTGACATACACAATTTTTTTTGTCATTGGAGTGTAGCTAAAAATTCAAAATTATTTTAGTTTGTAAGTTTACTAAATATTACTCCGTAGTTACTATTTAGTTGAAATAAATATTACCAATTTAAGTACGACGCTATTATTTTCATGTCAATAAGTTGAAGTAAGTGATAAACAATAATTTGGCATACAACACAACTACAGTTTAGTTTCATTACAACACAACTACAGTAACATTTCGATATAACTATAGTTTCATTGGACAATATAAACTCAAATATGTGAAATTATTATTCACTTTCATTTCATATACACTGCAGTTTCATTTTAACACAGCTACAGTTTCATTTCAATTCAATTACAGTTTCATTTGATAATATAAAAAGAATATGAAAGATAATTTCATTTAAGATACAATGTAGTTTCATTTTGTAATTAACACACTAAAAATACGGGCTCCGTTAGGATGTAACAGCAGCCGTTTCTTTACTTAAAGAAACTGCGCCATTTTTAGACCATGGTCCACGATATAACGATTGGTCTCTAACACATCCCTCCTCATCAATGCTTCTCACAACCCCGTCAATGTTAAGTGCTATCTAACTATTCCACGTTTAACTTTTAGGTACACTACCTCAAAATGAGTCATCAATAGATTAAAAATAAATTTACAATAGACTAAAAATAAACATTTATGAGTGGTCCATACAATATAATTTGTCGAAAGTAACTCATATACGCCATTGTCCATACAATATAATTTTCGAGATATAGTTCCACGCATGCATCTGCTTCGTCGAATTTCTGCTTTAGCTTTACGCATGCATTGTGGAGGTGATTACACAAAAGGAGAAGTAGTTGTTTACGGCAATAATAACCCCGCATGCCGCTTAGCTTGCCAATTTCAACTCTGTCTTTAATTTTCATTCCAGCAGGCAGCAGCGTACTTTAATTCCATGGAAGTTTGTTCTTTTTTAAAAATCTGAGGAGCTAGATTCCCTATTTCTATTGCACACAACAAGTCTGGAGTTTTAGTGTAGTTGGTTCTTCACATGACTTAAAGTTCATGACTGGAAGTGGCATTGTAAAGATTTGAATCCTATTTTAAAGTCCGATCCAATGATATGCTAGAAGGTCTGAATTTAATCCCTTGCGTGCACATAAAAATAGGATTTGATCTGGTGGACTAATTGTGCGACTCGTGATTTACCTCTGACTCTAGGAGCGAGGTCCTGTGAACTTAAAATTAGTACGGCAAAACTTAGATCACCTAAGTTTTTTAAAAAAAGAAGAAGATATAAAGTGTTAAAGATATGTGTGGCTGATATCTTTTGTTATTGTATTTAGTCGTAGTCTAGCTTTGGTATAATAGTTAATAGACTAGTTGTTATAACTGTTAGCTATCTTTTCTCATTTATAGAGCTCTTTATAGCTATCTGTGGTTTCATCAATATATCACTTGTTCATAATCTTTACATGGTATCTAGAGCCTAAAATCTCCTACGAAAGAAACTATTATTTGTTTTTTCTCCCTTGCTTCCTTCCTACTCAATGGTGTCCACCACCCAAGCTACTGCTCCAGCCACCACTGAAGTCATCCAAGTTCACGCTACTACACACTTCCCGATCAAACTCACACCTACGAATTTCCCAGTATGGCACTGACAAGTCCACGCTACTCTTGTTGGACTTGATCTCCTGGGATATGTTGACGGTTCCATCAAGGAACCAGCCAAGTTCACCGATTCCGTGAACACCGTCGCTAACCCGAGTCATTTCGTTTGGTATTGCCAAGATTAAACTATTGTCAATGCACTTCTGGGGAGCTGTACTGACATAATCCAGCCGGTCATCTCCTCGGCCACAACTGCCCGCGATGCATGGCAACATCTCATTGCCAGTTACGCTAGTGCCTCTCGAGGACGCATCATTTCCCTCAAGGCAAAGCTCATCACAAACCCCAGAGGTTCTCGGTCCATTACGGCGTACCTTGCTGACATGCGGGCTATCGCTGATGACCTTGCTCTTGCTCAGTGTCCAGTCACTGATGAAAATTTGATCGTGTATGTGTTGACGCAGCTTGGAGAGGAGTACAACTCCATTATCTCTGTAGTCCGCGTTCGTGAAACACCCATCTCGTGGGGTGAGCTGGCGGATATTCTAACTGACCATGAACGCCAGTTGAAGGTTGTTGATGATACACGCCAATCACTATTGGCAACAACTAATGCCACTCAGCGGACCTCGTCCTCCCGGAATTACCATCAATCGAACTATGGTCGGAAATATCACAACAGTACTGCTAATTCCGACACCAACCATACGTCTTGGCAACAATGGGGGACTAATCGCCCTACGGTTATATGCAAATTTTGTAACTTTGCAGGTCATGAAACAAAGGCATGTCGCAAGCTGGCTAGGTTCCTAAGGGAACACAACGTTGTCACTACCCAGACTTCTACTTCGCCTACAACCCATTCTGCGCAGGGGTATCCACCTTGGCTGTTTGACAGTGGAGCATCACATCACGCCACCCCTAGTATTAAGTCGCTGCAGACACTCTTCGAGTATAGTGGTCCTGATGAAGTGCGCCTGGGTGACGGTAATTCCCTGCAGATATCTCATATTAGTCGGTCTTTAATCCCTACTTCGTCTTCTGTTCTTACCTTAGAAAATGTCTTGCGTGTTCCTCAGTTGCACACTATCTTAGTGTCTATATCCCAACTATGCAAGACTAATCGTGTGTCTGTTGAATTTTTTGATTCCCACTTTATTGTCAAGGATCTTCGAAAGAGGATTTCTCTACTACGAGGAGTGAACAATGGTGGTGTTTACTATGGTCGGTTGCTTCTCACCCATCAGTACACACTACACAAATGTCATGTTTGTCTCAGTGGCACCAACAGCTTGGTCATCCGTATAATAAGGTGTTGCAACTTGTGTTACAACGCTGTAATGTTCCAGTTTCTATGTCGTCTCTGCGACAATGTTATTGTTCGTCCTGCAATATGCATAAAAGTCATAAATTGCCCTTCGCAAAAAATACTCTAGTTAGTACTAAACCGCTACAATTAATCTATACTGATGTGTGGGGGCTAACTGAAAAATCTATTGACGAATTCCACTATTATGTAATCTTTGTCGATCATTTTTCAAAATACATTTGGCTATACCCTATGAAGCGTAGGTCAGATGTGTTTTCCATTTTTACTCAGTTCAAAAGATTAGTGGAAAAATTTTTTGGTCTTTCGATTATTTCTGTTTACTCAGATAATGGGGGAGGGTTTATAAAACTTGTGTCGTTTCTAAATGATCATGGTATTTCTCATTTTACCACCCCACCACATACTCCTGAGCATAATGGTGTTGCATAGCGCCCACACAGGCATGTCGTCAAAACTGGCTTGACTCTTCTTCAAACTGCGTCCCTGCCGTCCTCGTACTGGACCTTTTCTTTTCAGACGGTTGTCTATCTTATTAACCGGCTTCCAACACCGGTCTTAGGTAATAAATCTCCACTTTATGTTTTGTTCCATCAGTTCCCTAACTATGATAAGTTGTAGCCCTTTGGCTGCTTGTGTTTTCCGTGGTTACGCCCCTACAACACTAAGAAAATTCAACCAAAATCACGCCCGTGTGTCTTTCTTGGCTACTCCAGCACTCAGTCTGGTTATAAATGTTTGGATCCTGGTTCCAACCGTATTTATGTATCTAGGCATGTTAGATTTGTGCCCCATGTGTTTCATTATAACGATTTACAAAACTCGTCTAACAGCTTACCTTATGATTCCCATGGTTCAGAATCACGCAATATTTTTTACAGGTCGTCTCCTTTGTCTACACATGCATAGATCATGGGTGTTCCAACTCCAGTTCCAACACCAGTTCCAACACCCGTTCCAACACCAGTTCCAACTCCAGTTCCAACACCCGTTCCGACACCATTTCTAACTCCAGTTCCATCTCCATTTCCAACTCCAGTTCCAACACCCGTTTCAACACCAGTTCCAACTCCGTCATCGTCAGCTGCATCCAATTCGTCGTCTCCCACTATTCCAGAAAATGGCCACCATTCAGCTCAGTTCGTGTCTGACTCACAGCCTATCTCCACCTCCGACACATCTCAACCATTGATTAATGTTCGCTGTTTCACCCGGGAGCATCATCCTAATCCTAGGTATTCCTATTATGTCATTAACCAAGTCACGTCACATCCCTTGCCTCCCACTTTAGAACCTACTACTGTCGCCCATGCTCTTAAAGATGCTCGGTGGAGGAAAGCGATAGATGAGGAGTTTGAAGCGCTCTGACGTAACAAAATGTGGCAATTGGTTCCCCGCGGTGTAGCTGTCCCAATTGGCTGCAAGTGGGTTTATCGTGTTAAGCGCAAGCCGGATGGGTCGGTTGACAGGTACAAAGCGCGGCTGGTTGCCAAAGGGTTCCTGTAGACTGCTGGCCAGCCCGGTTATGAAACCGGTGACCATTCGTGTGGTTTTGACGGTTGCCCTGAGTAACCGCTGGACGTTGCGCCAATTAGATATCAATAATGCGTTTCTTCATGGGACATTGCATGAAGAGGTGTTCATGGAGCAGCCACAGGGGTTTGTGCATCCCTCGTTTCCATCCCATGTTTGCAAGCTGACTAAAGCTCTATATGGTCTTAAGCAGGCACCGAGGGCTTGGTACTTGGAGCTATCGCAGTTCTTGTTACGGTGTGACTTTTTGAAGTCACAAGCATATGCTTCTTTATTTGTTTACTCTACTAATAATGTCGTCGTTTATTTCCTGGTGTATATGGATGATATTATCTTAACAGGTAATGATGTTGCTTGACTTAATCGCTTTGTTGACGCTCTGTCAGCCTGTTTTGCTCTCAAAGACCTTGGCTCCTTACATCATCTTTTGGGCATTGTGGTCATTCCATCGTCAACTGGACTGTTTCTGACTCAAAGTCAGTACATCACTGATATTCTAGTTCGGTTTAAGATGGATGGTGCAAAGGTTGTTTCAACACCGCTAGCAACCTCGGACAAGTTGCTACCTGCACCGTCTGGTTCTACACCGATTGATGTCACTCAGTTTCGGTGTTTCCTTGGCTTGTTACAGTATCTGATCATAACTAGGCCAGATGTATCCTATGCGGTCAATCGTCTTTCACAGTTCATGCACTCACCTACAAAGCTGCACTGGCAGGCTGCTAAACGGTTGCTTCGGTATTTGAAGGGCACAGTCTGTCATGACTTGTTTCTCCGGGCTGGGCAACCACTTTCGCTGACTGTGTATACGGATGCTGATTAGGGAGGTTGCACTACTGATGGCCACTCCACCACCGCATACTTAGTGTATCTCGGTTCCAATCTCATATCTTGGAAGTTTGCTCGCCAAAAGTCCGTGTCGCGCTCGTCCACGGAGTCTGAGTACCGAGCCTTGGCAAATGCTGCTGCAGAAGTCTTATGGGTAAGGAATTTGCTCTGTGAGCTTCGGTTGCAGCTGGTGAGGCCTCCTGTTTTGTTTTGCGATAATCTTAGCGCAACCTATGAAGCATCTGGCCCTTGATTACTTCTTTGTTCGTGACTTGGTTGCTAATGGTTCACTAGTTGTTCGGCACATCCCTTCCAAAGATCAGCTAGCTGACTTCCTTACTAAATCTTGGGCCGGTCCTTGTTTCTTCAGTTTCGTTCCAAGATTGGAGTCTCCGATGGATTCTCAATCTTGCGGGGGCGTGTTAAAGATATCTGTGGCTTATATCTGTGGCTGATATCTTCAGTCTAGCTCCTGTATAATAGTTATTAGACTAGTTGTTATAACTGTTAGCTATCTTTTCTCATTTGTAGAGCTATTTATAGCTGCCTGTGGTTTCATCAATATATCACTTGTTCATAATCTTTACATAAAGAAGAAATTAAAGTATAGATAAGCGAACATAAATTAACAAATTTTGGAGGTCGGTTAATAAACGAATAGAGTCTAAACATTTGTAGGTTTGTTTTGCTAAGAGCTCGTGAACAAGCTTGTTTATGTTCAATTCCCTTATTTTCTTTATGCATGCTTGCGCGTACTTACATGTTTGATTCATGAATTTTGATTGTTATGGTTATTGATTCAAGTTGCTAAGCCTTTCCATTTTGATTGTTAATTTGATAGATAATTCTGGTTCCTACTGATTCATTTGCTTAACTTCTTGAGTTTTGTTTTGATTATTTTGCATTTGAGTTTATATCTTTAGTATTTGTTTCTTGTTGTAACTAGTATTTGCACTTGTACGATGCACAAAATGGATTTGCTGTAATATATTAAGAATATATGAATCGATATATAAT